CATGGTGATGTGATGTGAGCAACGTGGTTGTAGTACTCACTGTAATTGGAACGTGTCCCTAAAGGTCACTCTTCTTAAGCAAGCTTCTTACCGAGTGCTCTTATCTAAACGGAGTTCCTTAACTTTTAGAGTAGATTTTCCGGGTGCTTTGTTGCTGAGTGCCTTCATAACCTGTGTGACATCCCTGGGAAGCTTACCATGGAGTGAAGGAGACATGATAAAGCCTTTCCTTATATTCTACCCTCCGTATTTTCATCCTGAGCAATTGGTCCATGTATCAACAGAAGAATGAAGTTGAGGCTTATGGCAGCAGTGCATCACTTAAAGTGCAAGTGTAATATCTGTTTTCCAATCTCAAACCCATGAGAATAGAATATTAAAGGTAGCAGTAGTTTATGTTCTTGACTGACTGAGCTTACTGCCTGTAAAATCAGATTTGAGGAAAGTAATTGTATTTTACAAAGATCTCAGTACCCTCCTCTGTCTGCTGATGATTTCAGTATCATTTCCTGGATTTTAGTATGTTAGTATACTTTCTAATAGTACTGATTTTGGTTGTTTGGACAAGTATATACTATAGTTACTGCTTTACATAATATAATTTTCTGTCTAAGTTAGAGATACTTTACATGTCTAATGATGATATGACTATTTTTGTAAACAACTACCCATCCTACCTCCCTAAATCAAACCTTCTGTGTTGAGCTGTATAAACATAGGTTAGATAGCAGAAAAAATACGGCAAAACCTTCACATTGCCACTGAGACCCCCCAAAAGACTGCAGGAGAGATTTGCAGAATTCAAAGAGAGAAATGGGCGTGCAGTTGGTATCCTGGAAGGTTGGATTAAAAAACAAGGGGAAAGAGCAACCCTATAGCCAAACTTAATAGAAAAAGCATCATCAACTTTATGTAGAGGATTTATGCTGCATGCATGAGAAAAGAGCCTTCAAGCTGAGCAGTAGTCCCAGCTGCCTGCCCTGCTTTCTATCCAGCGGCTGAGAGAGAGCTTTGAGTTTCCGTGTTCGAAGAGTCTGGGCCACCCTTTGGAAGTGCATGAGTGTATGGAGAGAGCCCATGTGAAGGGTTTAACATAGAAATTTGATTCAGATTAATAGTGCTTTAATTTCATTCAAAGTAATGGTTCTACACCTGTAGATATACCAAGAAGAGAGTCGTGTTTATAAGCAAACTCAAACCTGTTTTACAAAGTATATGGGAATCTGATAGTGTCGTGTAGTACGTGGAGGAGCTTAGTTGCAGGACTTACTGATGGTTTTCAAATCCCGGTGTTATGGCACAACTGATCCACTTAATCAAATCACGTTGCTGGAGGATACACMTAAGGAACAGAAGGTGTTGTCACAGTCATTCCTATGCAGGTATTCAGAGCTCACAAGGCCTGTTCGGTTATGGACGTCAAAGTGCCCATGTCTCTGTCCCTTCAGCTGAAACCTGAGTGACACCTGCCATGAGCAGAGCACAGGGCCCTGCATGGGCCCCAGCAGAGCTGTGCCTGGGGTCAGGGCTTTGCTTTTTAGACCCTTTGGGTTCTTAAGCAGTGTAAAATCTCATCCTTTAGTGATAGTTACTGTAAATACAGCTATGCTGTTATTTGCCCATCTGAGAAAAATAAGCATGGGCGTATAATAACCGTTGAGGGAGTAATAAAGTCAGAATAACATGASTACAGTAAAGCCCTTCTGTCAGCAGTGAGCTACTGAAGCCTGGTTTCCTGCAGATTTGTGCCTCTTGTTTGATTGACTGGTGGCAAGAAGGTGCCAGATAGAATACAAGTTTTTCTTGTTGCTGGGTGGTTATAGGGTCAGTGTGGGGATGTTGGGTATCTGAGGAGATGGGACCTCTTTGACGCTCTTTACACAGTTTCTCTAATCTCTGTTGTGCAGCTGCATTTGTAGGCAGGAACTCATCCTCTAAAAATTCAGTTGAAATTAGCAAATGATTCAAAAGTTAATGGCAGGAACAAATACGCGTACATACCTATACCCTGAATGCATCTGCATAAGCTTGAGGAGCCAATGTAAGCCCAAGCGAGAAAATAGTACAWACTAGGAAAGAGCATGGTTGCAGTTAATGAAACTTAAAAATGTTCTGATTGCAGAGTCAGATATAACCRTTGCTTTATATGAAGTGTTGCTGAAAATGATCAAATGTCAAAGATCTCTGCTTTGCACTTAGACCCTCTGTATTCTCATTAATGAAAGCTGAACAAAAAAGCAGAGATAACTGTAAAAGGCAATGCAAGTATGCAGTAAGGGCTTTTTAAAAATAACTTATGAAATTGAGTTCAAGTACAGACATTAAAGAAGTAACAGTAGGGGTTTTTATTTCCAGTGAAAACAGCGTCCGTTTTGTTTTTTTGACTAAAAGACAGTTAATTCGTAGAATGGTTTTGTTGATTAAGACAGCACTCTAAATGTTGCATGTAAAAGTTGCTGAAAATGAAACAACTTGGGGTTATTTTGAGTGGTTGTTGTTCTTACAAAGGAAATTATGTGACTGACATCTTTGTGGTAGTGAATTATGGATCTCCACCAGAGACTTAAAAGTATATATGGTTCAAAATTAATGCTTATGGCTGATACTACTCTGAATGATACAAAGAGAAAGCATAATGCCAAGAATTTAACTGTATTACTATTACTGTTTATGAAGGAACTCTTAATAGACCATAGAACCAAAAGATTGTGTAGGAAGAAACCGGAAACCCTCCGGATGTATATCCTAGCATAGAATGCAATTCCTGTAGGAGTTCATTAAATCTTTATGTGATATCACCAATTTATTGCTGTTTTATCAACACTCAATTTTCTTAGTACCTGTTTGCAAATGCATTCATATGACTTGAAGGACAAAATGTAATTGTTTTGCCACACTCTTTTGGCGGGATGTAACACAACGCTAATTGAAGTCGAGTCCTAAAGAGGAGAGAGGAGGTGGATGGTGTCCACGTTCAGAAAGTGGTCGTTCCACAACTTCCCTAGAGGGTTTGAGCAAAGTTTGAGCAAGGAGAGGGATACCTTCCCTTGAATGATATATTCAAGATATATTTAAGAACCCAGCGAATAAGCTTGCCATAATTTCCATTTGCTTCAGGTAGGTCTTGGTTACCAGAGCTGAGCTTGAAGAAAGAAGCCCTGCAGCTCCATTAAAAGTGGTGTTTATTATGCCTGCCAGTAATTCCATGTATCTGTAATCTGTAAATGTTTGTGTTATTGCTTTCACAATAGACTTAATTTAATTTTCTGCTTTGTTATCAGTTCCACTTCTGATATGTACCATTTTTTAGATCCATTGTGTTTACTATACATTTTTTATGTATGCTTTCCATCAAAGATCAGTCATTTCTTTGGAAACAGTGGCAGATTTCTTCTTCTGGACAATGCCTTACCCACTTTTTAGAAATACGTTTACCTGTGTTTGTGTAAGAGGGTTACTGTAGTGATATGTGAAAGTATAATGTCAGGAGGGTAACATAATGAATATAGATATCTCCCAGCATCTATGAAGCTGGAAATATTTTGTCTTTAACAAATAGGGATATAAAAGACAAAACTGGAGCGCTATCTAGAGATGGACTAACAAGATGCAGAGACTTCTGCAATATTTGCTGAGAAGTAATTAGAACATGGTCAGCCTCTGTGATTGTTTTGTATCAGACCTCATAATTTAGAGAGAAGAAAATGATAAAAATTTAGACTAAGGCTCAGATGACTTTCTCTCTACCCTGAGCTATTTTTATATTTAAGAATAGTATGCTTAGATGTCTAAAATGCTGTATTGTTAATGATCAAGGAGCAGATCAATAAAATAATAAACACAAAACACTCAAGATATGATCTCTATTGCTGGATTGTGCATCTGAGGAAAACTTTGTTATTAAGAAACTAGGAAGGGCCCTGGTACAGAACAGAACAAATAATATTTTTCCATTAGACTTCCCAGACCTAAAATGTTATTTTTCTATTAAATCAAAAGTGAAATCCATAATATCATTTTAGATAATATTTTGAAGTTGCAGGGAAATGAGAAAAATTTTTTGTTCAAGAACTTAYATAAAGTTATTGGCTACCTTTTTTAAAAACAAATATATATTTTATATATGTATATTATATAYAATCTGATGGAGAAAAGAGCTAGGCATGAGGTAGGGGTCACAGATTCAGAGTTAATTTAGAGTTTGGCAGTTGACTGAGACATGACTGGCAAGGAGATTTTCAAAAGGCTGTAACTGTAAATTGGAAATAAATGGAAAAGGATTATATGAGTGGGAGTCAGCTTTGAATCTATAATGCATTTCCTGAGACTGACTTGTTCATAAAAGAGCGTGTGTTTAATATGTCTAAGAAATATTTAAGCCACATTGGTATTTGAATAAATGTTTTATTTTTAAAGTTCGGTTCTGGAATGGCTAAAAATGAATTCAGCATGTATATCCTTGCCATCAGCACGAAGGATAAAGAAGCAATCACTAGAAACCTTTTTTTTCTTTCCCTCTCAGTCTCTCTCTTTCAGACTCATATTATTATGTTGCTGCTTATTTCCTAATCGGTCCTTTAGTCCTTGCTACATCATCTGTTTTTTTAGGAAGTATTCCTCTGAGAAGAAGCCACAGCTGTACTGGCTTAGGAGGCAGTGTGGGGAGAGAGCGGCTYTCTGGCAGGATGGCTGTTCACGTTAGGGTGTGGGAATGTGGTGACAGCTGAGGTGCCTGCCAAACGGGGCGCTTGTCTCTGCTCCTTTGGCCCTGTTCTGCAATAACAGAGGAAGAGGGAGGTTTATGCCCAGAGTAGCATTTGCCGCAATATGTTATATGGGAGCCAGTAGCACTCATAGATGTATTATAAACCTCTCCCGAGTCTCTGCTACCTCACCTGTAGCAGCATGGAAAATACGAATGAGTAATATCTGCACTGTCACTGTGATGCGTGTGACTTAAGTCCTCCCAAGTTATGGTTGTTGCATATTATTCTTCACAGGTGAAATCTGTGCTTTTAAAATCCATGGGCAAGAAATGCCATTTGAAGCAGTTGTGCTAAACAAGACCTCTGGAGAAGGTCGTCTTCGAGCAAAAAGTCCGATTGACTGTGAGCTGCAGAAGGAGTACACATTCATCATTCAGGCCTATGACTGTGGATCAGGACCAAGTGGAACAAACTGGAAGAAATCTCACAAGTGAGTGAAAATGAGGAAAAAAAATAGTGCTTTGGTATGCATTTACATTATAGTACAGATCAGTTGAAGGATGCCTTTTGTACTATAGGTAGGTGGAGTACCAGTTTAGGTTTATTTTGTGTCACTGCTTTCACATTAAATAAGTTGACTAAACGTATCAACAAGGACATGGAATCTAACTGRCGATTGGCATTTGGAGGAGATTTAGTTCTCTCTCTTAATCCCATTTCAAATGGTAAAAAATTAGGGAAATGGACCAGATTTTTACTGTATGCRTAAGTATAAGCTGCAGCAGTGCTGCTCTTGCCCAGTACTTTTCTGACCTTGGCATTTGGATAGAAAACCCCAGAAAGTTCAGATCCTCCAGAAGAGGGGATAATGCAAGTTAATAGGTAGTACTTCATGCTGTGGAGCCAGTTCCCTTCATAACCTTAAATGACACAGAGTCTTTTCACCTAGTTAATGAAACCAAGCTCCAGACCACTAATAAAAGATTAAATTTACTTATGTGTGGATGTACAACACATCTACACATACATAGTTACACATACACAGTTGCATGTACAGTTATGCTACTAGAGCTGTCTGGCGACTACTATACAAACTGCTTTTTTTGCCATGAGAGCCCTTAAAATAAATGAATAATAGCAATTACTCTTTCTTTTGTTCATTGAGGACACATGATAACTAAAAGTGTAATTAACTCTGTAATTCCTCAGAACTTTTTAAGTATACTAAAATTAAAAAATACGTGTTTTTAAGGAATCCTGTATTAAATAAAGGTGAAATTACAGAAACAATTTTGCTTCATATTATTAAAGCTTAGGATGATTTTTCCAACATKTGTCGTAACAGTATAGCAGGTGTTACACTGGTGGAGAATTTTTGTCCAGTCACAACCAAAATTAAATTTGTTGTGTTGGGACCAGAAGTTGGTAAACTGGTGGTGGTTTGTATACAAAATAAAACAGTAAGTTAGGTTGTCTGAGGCTACCATGGTTTATTCTTGGCTCTGCTTGGCTCTTGGTTTCTGTCTAGAAGGTTCCTCTACTGCTTTGTCCCTCTTTTAGTCTGTCAGTTCATACTGTAAATTACTTTAAAGGATTGCCTTCAGGGTTTGTTCTTTGAATACAAAAGGACTTTTCATTTTTGACCCTCAAGGCTTTACAGAATGCACTTATTGATAATGTGACACAGTCATTATCCTAATGAGAGCTGCCAGCAACAAGAACCCTACCCTTTGATTTCTTCTTAAGTGAGTGTGTCGCTGTGAATCACCAGGGAAGCTCCGGCCCACACTGACAGTGGATGTGTGGATCATTTCTGCCCTTAATGTTGTGTTACATGTCAGTTTGAGGGACTTTCACAAGCTAGATGTGTAATATTGCAAGTCATTAGGATATTAGGTAATTTAAATCAGCACAATACAAGAGAATTATTTAATGCTGAAGAATATTCATAAACTGGCCATTTTTAGTAATGAATATATAACAATACTGTAATAATCTTTTCTCTTCTTTAATCTATTACTTCATTTTATATAGAAAAAATTCCACTTTTTACTGGTGGTCTATTTTAAGCGGGAGCACCATGAAACCTTCCCTGTGCTGGCTGTGGCAATATGTTTTCAATTAACATCACAATATGTTTTCTAACTGCTAAAATTAAACATACCAGTATATTCTCATTTTAGCACAGGTTTTACTTGATTTCTAGTTATTTTCTGCATCAGTCCTGTAAATGTTCAGGAAGCAATCTGTTAACATGATCTTACTTAAAATCATAATCAACTAATTCATTTACTTCTTCTAGGGCAGTGGTCCATATCCAGGTTAAGGATGTCAATGAGTTTGCACCAGCTTTCAAGGAGAGTGTGTATAAGGCCACAGTGACAGAGGGAAAGATCTATGAAAGTATCCTGCAAGTAGAAGCCTTGGATGAGGACTGTTCTCCACAGTACAGCCAGATATGCAATTATGAAATTGTCACAACAGATGTTCCTTTTGCTATTGACAGAAATGGTAAGTTTAGAGATGGATGCAGTTTTACATCCCAGGCCACATACAGTAATTCCTTTATATGTAGCACTGCCAGCTGATGTCAGCAGATACTGATAATGTGCCCCTTTTAGTTCTTACTGAAGAGAGTAATGCTGTTCTCACTTTGGAGGATAAACAGTTATGTGGGGAAAGTGCATCCCTTTTACATCCGGTTTGRTCAGAATGTGCTGTAGTTATTTATCATGGTACCCAGTCATCTAGTTTCAGAAGAACAATATTTTTATCTGTCAGTTTATTCTTGTAATTATCTCAAATCTAATTTCCTGTCAACGGAATGACGTTTCTTAATGCAGGTATGCGGTCGTATCCAGTAGAGTTGGTTCACTGTTTATGGTTAGTCCCATTCCCTTGAACTTTCTAGGTTAACCTGCAGAAGGGACTATCTTCTGGAGATATTTCTTGATTGCTCAGAGATTCAGGGAGTGATTCCCCAGATCTACCCATTTATGGTGCTTCCTGAAGCAGGACCCTTATTCTGTAGTATGGAACAAAATACACTCTGTGGAATAAAATGTGCACTGGATAAGAGTAACTTTTTTCTGGCTTTTAGTTTTCTAGTATTAGAGGAAAACATCTGAGGAAAAAAAAAACTATTTTTTATTTCTTTTTGCAGCAATTTCTGACTTGGGCTGCCCTGCCTGTCAGCTCTTTCTAGTCAACATGTTTTTGGGGAACAGCCCCAGACAACTCACTGAGTTTGGGAGTAGAGATTTGGCTGTGCTATAATTCCATTGAAGATCCTCCCTGGTTACTTCTCACAATGTAAAGATTAGTCACACCGTCTTACAAGGCCCTCAGCAGTCCAGTTTGCAGATGAAGGTCCTGATTTTTGTGAAGCTGGAGGAAGAAACATGTAATGAAGAGCTGACAGGTTGTGCTATACAAGCAGTGTGCAGAGACATCAAAGAAAAAATCCAGGACACCTTGTTGCTGATTTTCACACAGCTGTGCTGTATAGATACTCAAAATTTCAATTCCTGTGCCCCTAGAAGTTCTTTCTCCAGAACAAGCACTTTGTGTATATGCCTAGGGATGCGTTGATTTATCTCTCCTAACAGAATCATTTAATCCATGCCCTTCAAAGGAGGGGAATACTTCTTGGAAGTTGAATCTAATTTGGGGGCAAATTAGAAATTGAAAACATATGTGGAGCTGCTGTTTCTCCCAGCAGCTGTTTTCATGTTGGGTATTTCTTTAAAATACTTTCTCCTTTTGACAAATGATTCATATTTACTTGTGCAGCTTTTACCTAATGCACAGCTGAGTATCAAAAGATAATAACTGGTTAGCATCAATAAAATGCAAATGATATTGGGGAAACAAGCCCTCTTGTTATCATACTCTCCATGGGAGGCAAATATTCGGTGTACTCTGTAGGAAGTGTAATAGTAATGCTTATGATTGTGTTTAAGTAAATGGGGTCAGCTGGCACAATAACCTTTTATAAGAGCAATAGCAAAAAGGATTTTTATTAATGGAGTGAAGCAGTTGAAACTACATAACTGCATGCAGTTTCCTCCGAGCTGCTCCTGCTCCTGAACTGTCTCTGGTTGTGAGAACTCCCATCTTCTGTTAAAAATTTTTCATGTTTCTGTTTGAAGCCACTATCCTTCCAGAGCTCAAAGTGACTTGCCAGTTTGTGGCTTGTTACTTAGCAGAATTGCAAGTGGTTTCGTAGTGGGCTAGGGGCAGCGATCACAGATAAATACACAGTGATTAGAGTGGCGTGGTGCAGCCGCTCCTGCTGTTCATGCTCCTCAGGTGCCCTTGCATGGTACAGCTGGCACCTGAGCAGCCAGGGCTTCCCTGCAAGCTCTAAAGAATGTGGAAATCTGGAATGCCCTTATGAGACATACTTGCCTCTGTGTACTTGTCACCAGCATTTCCAGCAAAGGCAGAGAGAAAATCCTAGACTTAAATTTGACCTCGAATAGTGAATAAAGATGAATAATTGGTGGGGGGTTGTATACTTGAAGTTTTATGGTCATGAATTCCATTAATAACTTTTTGATGTTTTTGTTCCCTAAAAGAGCAGTGCTGCCATGATCAGCAGTAATTGCAGTCTAATTTTCAGTTTTCTTTAGATAATGGTAATTGTTTATCCCACTGGGATTTGGGGCAGAATAGATGGTTGCACTTTTTATTTTGTGGCAGAAATATGTTGATTAGTTCTAACACATTTCGCTGCTCAGAATGTCTCTGTGCCAGCTGAGTTGCGCTTTATCTAGCGCAAATTCTTTGGCTTTGTGCCCATTTTTATTAGCTGTGRGGTGTCTTAAAATAGATGTACAACATGCCTAGGACTATGTTTGTTAAATGCTCTGCTAATTAGGTTTTTGCTTATAGTTTAGCTTATTGTGAAAAGCAAATCTAGGCAGTGAATTCCACTATTTCTAGCGGAAGACTTAGCACTATGTCACATGAAAGTGATGACTTTTTCTGTTTTCAGTAATGCAAATATGTTTGCTTGTTTGTTTTCCTCTAGTCTAGATCCTGTTGAAATCAATTCACAGATTTGCATTGCCTACACTGAGTACTGGATTAGATGTTTAGAAACAAATCTAAAATGTAGTGGGCGGCCCCAAAACTATGGGCTATGTGAGGAAAGTTTTTCACCACCAAACTAAGCAAATAGCCACTGGTGCAGACCTTTGAAACATTGTTCTGACAGTTTTAGCCTTTTATCATTCTCTTTTTAGGCAAAACAAATCTGGATCAATCCAGGGATAATTTGCTTTCTTGAAATACTATAATAGATATGGGGAAGGTTTGCAGAAAGAAGGAAAGAAACCATCAACCAGTAGCAGTGCAGAGGCTACTTCACTTACCAGACTCTGTGAGGCAATATAGACAGCCAAGGTTGGTGCAGGGCAGGGCCAAATTATCTCACTAAATTGTGCACCTATATTCTGGGTAGAATAAAGCTTCCCATTTGTACTTGACAACTTTGACCATGTGTGTAAAATTCCTTGCTGAATAAAATTATCTTATGTTAGCGAAACCGTAACACTAATAAAATTGACTCTCTTGTATATGATGAGCATAATCTGGAAAATAATGAACTCTTAGTCATATAATTAAGTCACTTAATGGTAAAGGACAAATTCAGGCTTTGCTGCAAAAAGAACTAGGACTAAACGGATAAAAAGCATTTTAACAGATGTTTGCATGCCATGTAGTTTAGTTGTCAACCCAGCAGAGAGTCCTAGTCACCAGTTCAGTTGCCATTCAGTACTGCCTAGATTGTTCTTTTTAAGCAACCACAGTGTGTGTCTCTATTGCAGCATCAGCAGAACGACACTTTTAATGCGTTTTCTACCTTCATTTGTGAGTGGRCATGAGCAGAGGGGTGAAGAATATAGGTATAGACACAAATTTAGTTATGATTCTGACCTGTAGCTTCACCTCGGGGCTGGGGAAGGGGAATTCATGTCTATTACTTAGCTTTGTCATTTCTAAAATGGTTAGAATGGCGATAATATTTGACCACCACTTTGCAAATACATGTTCAAATTGTTCAATGTGAAAATGAGTTAAAAAGCACACTCATCTGTCCTGTCACTACAGGTTTTATCAAGCTATGTCTCTTGGCAGATAGACCTCAGCAGGGCCTCACAAGGTCATGCAGCAGCTTTTGCAGCACTGAGGTGCATGTCAGGAGCTATACAAATATGGTATTGTGTCAGAAAAGAAGCAAAACTTTACAGTTAAGCATTTTTCTTTGTTTTTTTTTTTTCTTTGTTTTTTTTTTCATAACTGACCATTTCTTTCTATTACCATTAAAAAGAGCATTTCTGTCACAGGAATCTACTGGCTTTCTCCCAGTTGACTCAGGGAGCCTGTCTCCCCATAGTGCTCAGCAGACAGGGCTGCTCATGAGAGCAGACCAGCCTGGCAACATTTGCAGGTTACAAGACTCAGTTTTATCCTTCCTACTCACACAAGGAATAACCATGAGATTTAAGAGGGAGTTGCTGTAGTAGATTAGATCATTAGTCAGAGTTTTCCCCTGCTCTTGTGATTTTAATCAGCTGCTTCAAACATGATGAAAGAAGCCCATGAAGTACGGAGGGCTCTATTGAATTATGCCCAAAAGTGACCTTCGAGAAATAGAAGTGTAATGACATGTACCCTTAGATGGGAATATTTATATTCCTGTTGTCATTTGTTTCAGTGTTTTTTAAAAATCTACTATAGCTATGGAAATTTCCAGGAAAACACAAAGAAAGACTAAGGAAAATGATTTTTATGGGATAACTGTGAGCTGTGTTGAAAAGTGTTCACTTCTATAATTTAAAAGCAGCCTTTTTAATGTTACTGAGTACCCTTTTGTTCATGGTAAGATGTAAATATAAATTCTTGGTCTATCTACATTAATTGGCCTGTATTTATAGTGTATCCTGTATGTAGTCATATTGATTAAATTGTATAATAACAAAGTAGCATAAAACATTAGATGTAACAGGAAAAATAGAAGAATTAGGAAATCAATAAACTATTCAGTAACAGCTACGAGACATTCAGGTGACCTTCCAATATAAAACCTAAATAGTCCAACTATTTGGACTCCAACCTTTGGAGTCCAAAGACCATAATGAAATGCACATCTTAGAAGATAGTTTAGTGAAACTCTACTGATTTGTAGTTACTTACAAATCTTAGAAGACAGTTCACATACCAAGCAAAATCTAACAGTTTGCTAGTGCATTTTTGGTCAGTTCTGGTTTCTAGAGATTTCTATGCTTCATAGAGTCATAGAGTAAAACAATATATGTCATAGAGTAAAACAATAGCAAAGAGAACATAGGGAAGTGTAAGAATGCATATAAGAATGCAGAAAGATAACAGATACTGAGAAGATATTCAAGGAAAAACAAACACATGATATCAGTATTTCATTAAATCCTTGTAGGTAAGTGTAAATCCAATAATTTGAGATAGTGAAATGAGTAGATTAGATTTTTGTTTTATTAATTATGGACTCTGAAAAAAGAAAGAGTTTATTTGGTGCTGTAGTTATGTTTCCTTGGGGCAAAAGAGTCTCGTGGCAGGGGTCAGAGTGCCTGGCCAGAGCAGAGGGACAGCGAGAGGAAGAGGAGGAAGCTGGAGAACACAGTGCTGTTTCCATATTAGCCTTTGTAGATCCTTTTCCTTAAGCTTCCCTTTCCTAATGATGCAGGAACAGTGAGTTAGTGAGGGAGTTAGTGAAAGGCTTTATTAAAAACTTCCATTTGTCTGCTTTTTCCTTTTCTCAAGTTTCACATGAATGACAAAGTCTAGGCGTGATCCAACATTAGATATGTAGATTGGCACTTGTAGAAATAAGACCACTTTATTAGCCCTCTGTCAGGATTTTGCTGTTCCCATTTCCAAATTTAGGCCAAACAGCTTGCTTTACAGATCCACATCATAGGCAGTTCTAATGTCGAAGATTGATCCAGAGCTTTCCCATTTATAGGAAGTTTGTTTCTTTGATTCCAGAACAAGCAAACTCATTCAAAGAGAGCAACCTAGAAAATGTGAAACATACTAAGCAGTTTCAGTATCAACTAGAAGTGAATTTCAGTGGATATGGATGGAGTTATAATGCTGAACTAAATGCTCTAAATTACATTTGAACAGTGGTCTTCTAGTCCTGCAGAAAGTTTTATCTGGGAAAGATCTTTCCATTTGCTCATGATAGTTATTATTTATTTATTCCTGGTGCAGGTAATCTGTCTACCTCATTTGTGTTTCAGGCTTAACACAAAAATTTCTGTTATTGCTGATTTTTATTTTCTGCATGATAGCTCAGTCTCAAAAGTTCATGTATAGATGAAGATTTGTGGGAACATGATCTTTTCTTATTATTAAAACACAGGGAAAGGGTTTAAAGGTACTCCTGATGTAAAGGCCTATAACAGGAGGGGGTGAAAGGAAGATACTTCGACTCGGTCTTCGCTCTCCCCGTGTCTAGGTTTTCTGTTGTCTCCAGCTTGATACATGGCATTGGCAAAAAAAATTATTTTAGCCAAAGGATTTTTTTTATTTATTATTTTAATTTTATTTACACTGGATGAAGAAGAAAAATGCTGTCCATTCCTTGTACTTGTTCTGTCTGTGGAAGTCCTGCATGTCCCAAAGAGCATTCTAGTCACAAAGGACTTGATCAGCCAGGCTGCAGATATTTGGATCTGTATGAGTTTAACCAAGAAGTGACTGCTGAATGCTCTTTTGTGTTGTATCTACAGGTAACATCAGAAACACTGAAAAGCTGAGCTACGATAAACAGCACCAGTATGAGATAATGGTGACAGCTTCGGACTGCGGGCAAAAACATGCAACCGAAAATGTCTTGGTACAAGTTAATGTCAAACCAGTGTGCAAGCCAGGCTGGCAAGGTAAAGTTTAAAAGTTTATGTGGTTTAGTAATGTTCTTGTACTTTCTTTTCTTTGGTGTTTTCAGTTGTTTACATTTGCCGTATTTGCCTTCATGGCAACAAACGGCACATGAGAAAAAAGCAAAAGTTCTGCTCTAACAAGTAATATTTTAATTCAGTCCGAATATACTGCAAAGCTTAAAAATGATATTGCTGTCTGCTTTTCTTCTGCTGCTYCTTTAGATAAAGTGTTTTAGAGCCACCATGAAAAAGTACTTCCCTGTTCTGTATCAGAATTGTTCATATCATCTCGTTTGCTGAGTTGTTTTTCCTGTATATGCACATATAGTGTAAGTCAAGATGTGTTCAGTTGGCAGCCATAGTGAAAACAATTGGTTTATTCTCATTAGTGCCCATATATTGGGAGATTTCAACTGGAACTACTTTTGTAAAAGAATTGCGAGTTTTGGGAGTCTCCTCTTTTAAAATGAGGRCACACCTAGATGGCATTAGATTGGGAAAGTAGATTTGCCACAAACTATATAGTATTAATGTGCAAATGAGAGCTGCTCTAGGGGCAAATTGACTGAATATGGCCACATTGTGCAGATGTTATTCAGGACAAACCTGAGTTATAAAAGAGAATGCTTGCAAAGGAAAAAAACAGTTTTACTGATGTCCTTGGGTAAATTTGTAGAACTGACAGAGGAAAAAGGGGTTTATTTGTGAAGTGTCAGCCCTAATCTGGAGGATCTTGGGATGCAATGAATTTGCAGTATCATGACTCCATTTTCACAGAACTTTTGAAACTAATTATATTTAAATATTTCAGGTATGTATTATATTCTCTCGCTCCAAGTATTTTGACTGGTAAGGATAAAATATTTTCACATTTCCTAACTGAGTTTGTTGAATATTCCAAACTTTACCATTTATTCTATAAATCAAAAAAAACTTGTTAAAAAAAAAGATGTTAATCAGTTTAGTTCTCATTTTATGGAATCCTTCCTAATGGATGAAACAATACCAAGTTTTAGTGTGGGAATTGTATTGAAACAGTAGATTTGAAATAGTAAAATAGTAGAGTCATTTTCATGTTATTTTCATTCAGGTATGTCTTTGAGTGAATAATTTTTAAACAAAAACCTCACAAATGATGTGACTTTATTGTCCAGTATTATCATACTTATTTCATAATTTCAGTATCGGTTATAGTAAAAATGGTCATTCGGACATGTTCAGGGGTTCAACAGGAGTAATGGAAACAACCTCAAATAAGATATGTATTATTTTGTATTTTGAAGTGTGACTTCTTTCTTAAGGTTATGTGAAGTGTACACAACCTGTTTATGGTTTTAGTGAAAGCTGGACATCAGCTCTGGTTTTTATGCATACGCAGCTCTTCTTTTCCATCTCCTGGAAACTGGAGAGCTGCTTGCGAATTGTGGTTTGTTTAACACTAGGTAGCTAATAGGAAAGGCTGCCAGCTTGTAATTTTCGATGCATGATGATGACAGAATAGACTACTTGTCTGTTTGTATTATTAAAAAAAGAAGAGAAAAAAAAAAAGAAAACAACATAAGGAAAACAATAAAGCAGTACATTGCATAAGAGAGCAGCTTGTCTAAAGCATGTTAGAAATACAGAGAAAGGCCAAATTCAAGCATGGTGAATTTTATCAAAGCATATCCTTTTTCTTTGTTTTGATTGTGGGCTTTTGTTTCTGTGGCAATTTAACACAGTTGTGTTCTACCTTCTTACTGATTTTGACACTATGYTTTGTGATAGGTCTCTGTCATAGGCAATGGAAAATACCAAATACATTTGCCTATGATTCTTACTAATTCCTTGTAAAAGAGCAGCCAGCAGGTATGCTCCTTATGTTTGAAATAATGATATATTTGAAAGCTTTAAGTGCCTAAAATATATATAATAATACTTGTCTTGAAAGAATAGATGAATATTCTGAGTCTTTGGTTGTAAAACAGGAGCTGCCAAAGTGTGATACATGATTTTTGTCTTRTTCTTCACTGTTACCTTGAACAGGTGAATACCTGAAATTTCAATTTATAGCACTGGCGGTTGATTCCTGAAAGCTACTAGCCTTAATAATCAGTGTTGTACAGATCTTTCAGTGATTATCATAAACTGACACGATAGCTGCTCTAATGTGATTTTAGTGTTAAAAATTTCAGTGTGGTATCAGATGCCCTTCAAATATCCTGCATTGCACTGGGCTGAGACAGTGAAGAATTGGCATACATAAAATGTAATGTACAAATTGATTCCTGTTTCTGGAAGCTGACTCCACATGACTAACATGTATAGCAGGGCAAATAAAATTCAACAGGCCTAAGTGCTGTTTTTTAAACAATTTTCCCATGGACAGAGAATAATGCTGATACTGTCCAGGTCTTCATTAAATCTAGGAGCTTCTTACCTTGTTTTGGGGCACATTAATATACTGCTGCTAAACCTTTCCACACAGCACGCAGATGATTTGAACCTCTAACAAGCCTTGTTACAGGCTTGTAACTTGAACCAAACAGGCAACCAACAGTTCCCAGTTTTCCACTCTAAAAAGATCTAAGCATTAAACTAGAAATAAATTAACCCAATTCATTCCTAGTCAGTTATTTTAGTTTTAATTGAAAATTCTTATGAAATAGTTTTGTCCACTGCCTTCACAATAGCTATGGTACAAGTTTCCTCTCTGTGCTGTTGCATCTGGATTCATTTCTACTCATTTCAAACAACTGAATCACCACTTCATGCCTGATTGTGAAGAGGACTGTATTATAAATAAAAGCTGAATATTTYCTTTTTTATTATGAAAATGTGCTAATTATAAGAAGGAATTTAAATGGAAAATAATAGAAATAATCTGAACTCCCAAGTTCACCTCACATGATACTAGAAATACTGTCATTTTCAGCACATTCTTGATGGTTTTATCCCTTCCTTCAGGGCTTAGCTTTTGTTTCCCACTTCTGGAAGCACAGAACAAAGACTCCATTTTTTTTTCTGTAGATCCACTTCCAACATGATTCTTCTTATTACACTAGTTTTATTGTCACATAAATATTGACTTCTGTGAAATCCTTCTGCTTTATTCAAAGTAGGGAGGATTCAAACTTTACTAAAAAAAAAAAAAAGAATATTATAACAAAATCAGATAAGAATGGAGAATAATGCATGTAATCATAGCTTTTCAGCACGGCTGCAGTGAAGTCGAAGKGAAAGATAGGGAGGAAATTAGAACTATGTGAAACTTATTTTCTTTCTTTTCTGACCTGCTCTGCAAATTAGAAGCCATATTACGCATCATAAAAGCAGAGATCTTTCCATTATGGGAAAGTATATACTGAAACACATTCCTCCAGATCACATAAAAGTGTGTTCTTTTATCAGCTGAATACTTTTTTTCTGTTTGATATATTCATGACTATCTATTGCTTTAATGAAATCTTTTTTTCGCTTTAAACTTCAGAGTGCTTTGTTGGTAAAACAGCATACATTTTCATGTTTTCTTTACACAAAATTTCATAACAGCAGCAAAATTTCCCCAGRGGTGACATTGAGTAATTGTTGATGGACTCTTGCCTTCTCAAGATTTCAGAATTTTTTCCATTTGTATGTGAGGTAAACTGCGAACTTTTTGAAAGGTTTTCAGAAATGTAATCAGGAGTAATGGAAGAATGTCAGTATCATTTAAAATATATGTAAAAACATTGCATCATTGAAAAGGAGAAAAAAGAAACATCAAAAACATTGCTAGCATATTGGGAGTGTTCCAGTTAGGACCTGGAAGGAGAAAATGAAGTTCTTCATATCAAATGATCCCTAAATAAGATTTTTTTTTAATAGGTAAACTAGAACATGTTTTCTTTATCTTTTTATCATGGTGCCATAGTAGTGACTTTTCCTMATTTTTACCACCTTCATAAAAGATTCTAACAAAACTGATAAAAGACTTAATTTTTGCTTACCTATGATACTACTGCATTGGTATAATAAGAAATGGAAATARAGTGTAATAAACCAATGTGTTGAAAGTTGCTTGATGCACAAAAAGTTCAAAGAGTTTCATTATTAGCATGCTGAGCTCTCTAGTGCTACTGATGTACTAAAAAGGGAGAAGAAAAGAAAGGAGTTTCAGCTTTAAAATGAAGGACAGAATCAAGTTACTAGAGTGTCTGAAATATATTTTGAGACTRTTTGAGACCTGCTCATTAATTAACCAATTAATCCGAAAGTCAGTCTGTGCCCTTACATTCTGTTGATTTCAAACAAAGTAGTTACTAAGACTGAAAGCCCAGAAAAGATTTCTCTGAACCAGGTAGGAGAAACTTAGTTACATCCTAAGGAGGTATCTGAGGATTTTGACTTTTCTGAAAACAATTRTTTAAGAAATAATGAAGGCTGAACGTTTATCTCGGGGAGATGAATATGTACCAAAGAATTCAGAGTTGTATTTTCCAAAAAATTCTGTACCACTGCCCAAAGATGAGACAGACCAAAAATGAATAGCCAGCTTGTCTACAGATGGTTAAGGCTTGATCCCCAGTTGGGCCAAAGATGACTTAATTTTTTTCTGATGAATTTAATATAGCTYCCATAGCCATTATTAGCAACCGCCAACTAAGAGACATTCGGATTTCACTTGATGAGGAAACAGCTTTTCGTAGTGCCCAGTCTGAAATATCCTACTGATTTGAGAAAGATTCCCTACATCAATCTTCCAGTACTGCAAATCCATACAAATACTATTTTTTTTAACTGAACAAAGTATTATGACATACAGGTAAGAGCAGTTCGTGCATCTTTAAAATGCTGCCTAATAGCTCCTTTTAAAAACATGTTGACTTCTTTAAGCTGACGTAAGGTCTGTGACTAGCAGAAGGCAGAGACTTGCAGCCCCTTTTCTGTGGACTTTCCCTGGATGCCATCATTCCCTTCGCCAGAGAAGGCAGGACCTCCTTGTGCAGCAGCAGTGACTGTAGATCACGTCTGAGTCAACA